TGTAATTTTGTATAATCTACTTCTGTTCTCCTCTTGGCTTTATTTCAGCTTTTCTTGGTATTTTTTTCCTTGTTCATTGTTTGAAAATGTGTTCAAAGTAGGGGAGCAGACTCTCAAAGCAATGGGTCATGCAAGGATGCCTACTGGTAGTTAAGCTAGAAATTTTGGATCATTCAATCAATGGACATTGTGATGCTGGCTGTGGGAACCACATGCCAATAGTTAAAGTAGACCAAGTTTTACATGTTAAAGTCTTGCTTCTGAAATTTGAGGCAGTGCTATAGTTATGAAGGATGGACAGCTATTTTGCTATCTATCCCCACAGAACAGCTATTAAATGTGACTCCTGTACTACAGTAACTGGGTTAGCTTTGACAAGAGAGAATAAATGCTATTCAGTTCTTATGAGGTGAGAGAAGGGGTATTTTTGTTTAGTGTTCTCCCCTTTCTTCTCTGATAGTGGAGACCTAGCAGAAACCTGAATGGTTGGATCACTCAGGATGCACAAAGGTTAATTTGGTGTCCTTTGAAGTAATTTGCATTCCCAGAGCTTATCAGAACTACTATGAATTGGGGATTGAGATATGAACTCTTCAATTAATTCTGAACCTTGCAAAGAAGCCTTTTAAATTTCTTATTGATTTATTTTATCTCTCTGTGCTTATCTGACTGTCTTTATTGGAGCCAGAATATATCTTTGCCTAAGACCTTTAGAGGTATTTGAAAAAAGTTTGAGAGAGGTAGTATGAAATCAGGAAGTGCCCGAAATGCAGACATATTGTTTCCCTCCTTACCTGAATGCTTGAAACGAGATTTGAGAACCGTTCTACCTAAAAAATCAGAATGTTTTGAATATTCTATCGTTTCTAAACATGCAGGTGATTTGCGCCCTTCAGAAGAAAGACTACATTTATTACTGGCTTCTAGATAAATTATAATGCTGGAAAATTGGAACCACCGTTGACACTGGGAACACAATAAGGAACTGTGAGTGAAATTTCTTTGTCCATCATATGCTCAAAGGCATTAATCTATTCATTCAAGTAGATAAATGCTTTGCAGTCACACACAGCCAAGCCTATAACTTTATTCTTTTTGAATAACACCCACAGCAGGAGCTCAAACCTGCAAGGTGCTGTTAATGATATTTAAGAAGTCATTAGGAGCAAAATCAAGTCTTAAACATAATGTATGTGGTTAAAGACCACATTTTCAGAGTAATTGCTCATATAGGGAAATATTAACGATGGGACCAGGAGGTGGCCTTTTCAAACCCTTGGGTCTGCTGCACTCAATTAAGTCATAGCTGATCTGCACCTCAACTGCATATTTCTGCCTTTTCTTCATAATCACTGATATCCGTACTTAAGAAACTATCAATTTAATTCCAAATGTTCCCAGCTCTCCACTGCCTTATTGGAAGAGAATTCCAAATGTCTTTTATGAACGGTTTGTTCAGTTTTATGTAGTAAATAACAGTACGTAATCATTGTGCGCTTGTATTATAAATAAATAAATTTTTGGATGATGTTCAATTTGCACGCAGATCCTAAATTAACTCTTGAGTGGCTATTTATGCTACCAAGAAAAATGACTTGGATAGTCACTCCTCTGCCATTCACATGAGTTGGGGAAACTCCAGGTACAGGCCCGCTCCTTTGTCTACCTATGCACCTAGTAATCGGGAAAGTTATCTTTGTGCAGGAGAAGATTGTTGAGATTAGGTGCTTCTGAGATGAGTGGCTGGATGGCCTGAGTCACCCAAATGCAAGGGGGGAATGAGTGTTGAAGGATAGACCCCCTCTGGAAATCTGGTTAAGTCAGGCAAGAGGTGTAGGGAAGATGGAGAATGAATGAGAAAGACCCTTTTTCATTATGGATGTAGGGCAGTTTGGTTCTGCTGCTAGTGAAAGGGATGGTTGCAATTTTGGGAGATTAACTGGGCCACATTATGAAATAAACTGCCCTTTGACATGAGGACAGCCTGCCCTCTAAGATACTTGCAGACCTTTTTTATTGGGGACCCGCAGGGGCAGGCCCTCATGTCTTATTTAGGATCCCAAGCATCAGGAGCAACAATATGAATTGGAAGACAATTAAATTACTTTGAAATTTTCTTTGAGGGCCTAAATGGCCAGCAGACTTTCCTTTGCCTTCACAAAGAAACAGTGGCCTTTCCTTGGGAAGGTTTAGCTCCCCCCACGAACTACAATTCCCATTCCCGAGTGCTGCGATGTACTTAACTTGTGCAAGGGACAAGTCTCATGAGTCGCCAGCAGTAGCTTCTCATCACTCAAAAAATCTGCTTGCCAATTAGATAGTGAATTTGGCCAGGTGTAAACAAGATGTGGCAAATAAAAGCTGCTAGGCTGCACATTGATGATTTTTAGGCCTGTTGTCTACCTTGGATGTTCCTCTCAGCAACAATTTTGCCTCAAGTTTGCACCAACCATGACATGTTTAACTATAACACTTGAATCAGGTCTTTAGCTAGATAAATACTGTGAGGTTTCCTGTGAAATTGCTCTCCTCATGTCAAAGGGCAGTTTATTTCATAACGTGGCCCAGTTAATCTCCCAAAATTGCAACCATCCCTTTCACTAGCAGCAGAACCAAACTGCCCTACATCCATAATGAAAAAGGGTCTTTCTCATTCATTCTCCATCTTCCCTGCACCTCTTGCCTGACTTAACCAGATTTCCAGAGGGGGTCTATCCTTCTCCACTCACATTTTTATCACAGGGGACATGTATTGCTCTTCTTTCCACTTCTTCAATTGGACCTTTCTCCATTTCGTTACTTAGTAGAAATAGGAATTTTGACTCTTTCCCACCATTTAATAATGCCCCTCTATGCCTCTTTTATCTCTCCCTATTTTTGAATCCTTGTGAAAATTTTTTAAAAATCATATCTATAATGTGTATGTCAATTTGTTACATAGGGAAAGGATTTGATTATTTTCACAGAGGATAGCAGACCTTTGAAAACACCTGGGCAGCCAATGGTTTACTCCTTACCTGCAAAAGAGAGCTGGACCAGTTCCTAACTAGGGTGAAGTGCATGGCATTAAAAACATTAAGTGTAATACTTGAGCCATTTAAATCATGGTCAACGTTTTAATCACCTAAAGTGGACAGGCAGGGAGAGAATCAGACAGAAGTTTTGTTCCTTAAATTGGCCTCTGGTTTTGTTATCTGTTTTCTCCTCTCTCCCAGGAGATTGCATGGCAGCTGATAAGATTATTCTTATATTATGTTCTTATATACAGATTTACATTGGATTAGTAGGAATTGAAATAATCTCATATGATTAAAGTTTTTGTTAGTGTTTAGCTTGCAGATTTGTGAAAAAACTTGGTTGACATTGTTCATTCCCGGGAACGTTAGTATTTCATGCATCATGGTATAATTTAGGTGACAGTGTTGCTTAGCTTTGGCTGAAAGTATTGGATATGTGAGATAAGGAAATAATCTTTGGATAAAATGATTATTTACATGTTTAATAATAAGCAGATTGGCCGGGTGAAAAAGAACAAAAACTGCTGGAGAAATTCAGCTTTGTTCAAACAATCTCATGACTGGGGGTTACATTTATAGTAGCTGTGAACAGAGTGTAATAAGTCAACAAGGACTCTGCTTGTTGAGAAGCCTCAGATTTTAAGCTTTCCCTTAAACTGTTGATAGAAAATCAAAGTAAAATGAATGGATGCTGATTATATCTCTATCCAGGAAAAAAATGACATAATATCTTTCATTTCTCTAAATACTCGTAAATTAGAGACATTGCAACGTCAAAGTCTCTGAAATGAGAAATGTCCAACAATTTTTATTGATGTCCATTATGCTGAAAGCAGTCATGATGTTCAAGCTAGTAATTTTTATTTTGTCCCATTATTTTTGTGTATTGGTCATCTGAACATGATGAAGAATATAGATTATATGAAGAATGAACTATCCTTTGACATGCTTTCGAGCCATGGGATTTGTCATCTATTGTATTGGAGACTGATTCTTGTGCACATGGATTTTGATTGCTTACATGAAGGTGGTTATAGGGGATCAGCAGTTCAGATGAAACCGGACAATATAGTGTGGGATGATATATCTTAACACATAAGTTCAGTGAAGTACTTTATGAGGACTACAGAATATGTAGCTGTTGAAATGAAGTTTATCAATAGGTTTATAACTTTTTTCCTTGTGTCATTGGGAACAAATGTCACCTTTTTGCAGTGAATGTTAAAATGCTCCAAGTAGTCATAGCCACTGTATCACAGATAATCATTTTCCTTGACTGTGAATTGACTGAACACTTTTGCAGAAACAGACAGCATTGGAGAAAGTTGGGGGGTCTGGCATCATCTATGATGAGACAGAGTTAATGTTGAATCTAGTATGACTCTTATTCTTCTGCCTCTGCACCAAAGACTGGACTCAAAATATTAACTCTGTTTCTGTCTCCACACCTGCTGAGTTTCTCCAACACTCTCTGTTTTAACTTTATATATCCAGCATATGCTTTATTTGAACCTTTAGGTGGAATGAGATAGGATTGTTTTGCTAGGTGACTGGGTGGAACTCGGCAGGATGAGATTTGTAGAGTGCTTTGACAGTATGCAATTGGTTAAAAATTTTGGTAGGCTTGCCTTGATAAAGCATTGTTAACCATAGATGGAAAAGCAAAAACATGGCAAAAGATTTTATGTATTATAATTGTAATATTGGCTAATTTCCATTAGTTTGGAAAAGAAAATATCTCCTCCATTTAAGATAGAAGAAATTTGGTAACTAGATTTGCTGGTCCCAATTTGGGCAGTGACACAAGAAATGCTACAGGAGAAATTTATGTCATTTTTTTCTGAGAAAATAAAATGAAAATACTTTGCCATATAATTTTGTCACAGTGCTACCAGAGCCTTGAAGTTACAACTCTAGTACTATTCAATTTTGTGATAAAATCATATCTTAAATTAATGATTTAATGAATGTAGGGGTACTTACTGCAACACAGCGAGGGATCATATTTCAATATTGATCCTACAAAGTCCCATTGCTGGCTGTCCCAGGTGATGACATTTCCATCTTCACAGTTCTGTTGCGCTATTGACTGAAGTCCTTTTGCATGATCCCACAATCTGAACAAATACAAGTCTCCAACAAATATCTCACGATCCAGTCTCAAACGGTCAGCCCCTCGACTGTGCTTTCGGCCAAGCACCAAGCTACCATTTTGGCCAAGACTGTAAGCATTGTTCAGTGTTTTTGAAAGTACATGTGTTCTATTCAAGTAGACATGTGTTTCATGAGTATTTCCATTCCACGTTAAACAAACAGAGTGCCAACTAGCAAAGGAAATATCTTTCCTTACAGTAAGCTGTTTATGAAACAACCAGATGACGAGTTTTCTGTCCTTTATCATGATGCCAAGTTCATGATGGGGTACAGAATGCATGCGTTTGATGTCTGTGTTATATGTAAATGCTATCATCCTATTTTTATTATTCTGCCTTAGCCTGATGTCTATACAGAGAGTAAAACTACCAAGTGAAGGAATGTTTGTTCCTGGTGACAGCGTTCCATATTCATCAGGTGCACTAAGCTTGAAAACTGCTTTTTGACCTTTGAGCGTAGCACATGTTCCTGAAGGAATGGGAAGGCAAATAAAACAAAATTAATAAATAACCATTGCCATTTGAGTTTGAGATCAGAGAAGAAAGGTGTTCGCATGCTCAACAACCAAAAGTCAAGAACAATTTTCTATTTCATCATCATCATAGAATCCCGACAGTGTGGAAACAGGCCCTCCGGACCAACAAGTCCACACCTACCCTTGGAGCATCCCACCCAGACCCATCCCCCTATAACCGACCTAGGCTACACATCCCTGAACACTATGGGCAAATTAGCATGGCCAATCCACATAGCTTGCACATCTTTTGGACTGTGGGAGGAAACCAGAGCACCCAGAGGAAACGCAAACAGACACAGGGAGAATATGCAAACTCCACACAGTCATATGAAACAATGCTGCTTCTGGATATGATTCTTGTCTTTTGGTCTAAGTTAGTTTGCTGGGAAATGAGTGTGTGCACAACAGGAACCTAGCTACATCTTGCCTGCAATAACTCCTTAGTTGAAGACAAGTGTTTTGAAGTTAGTGCTTTGCTGAATAAACCAATGAATACCATACAAGTGAGCAAGACATGATATACAATCAAATATGATGACTGCTTTTTTAAGTAATTAAAAAGTTTATAAAATATAAAGGATGGGGGGTGGCGGATGGGCGAAATAGAGTCTGGAAGTGACAAAAATAAGATGTATTTCAACAGTATTTGTGTAAAGCAGGGGCAGAGTTCACAGTGTTGTAGAGATGGAATGATGTATTATATGGTCATGGAGAGAATGTATAAATAAGAGCTCTGAGCTATAAAAGTAACAATGGTTTCTGACAGCCTCATTCAAAGCAGTGAGTGTATCATGGTTCAAAAATAACTGGCTTTTCCACTGTTGAATTAGAGGAAACTTTGATTTGTCTGGTGATTTCACACAATCTGATGGTATGGGGACAGTTCAGGGACTGCTGTGCTTTCTCCATAAGTATTATCATTACTTACAGGAATGCATGGTTGACTATTGCTGTCTATGATATAAGTTCCAAAATGACTGTAGGCAAGATCAGAACTCTTAACACTGTTTAAACAATGTAAATTAAAATTTTCATTAAAATAATGGAAGGAGGAACACTATGTGAATACTGTAAGCAGTTGTTTGCTAATAATACTGGCAGTCTAGCAATTATTTGCACTTAACTTCAGCTTACAACAACTTGTAAAGTTCTAATTTTTGTTTTCAGTGATCTTCTGACTCAACACTGCAGAGGCTTACTGCAATGTGGCACTTTGCTTGTGCAGGTATATATATATATAATCTATATTCAAATTGACAGTGTTTACACTCAAACTCCAAATGCAATGTAATACATTCTCAGTGGGCTAATTTTAGGCAGGCATTAAGCCATTTAAAAGAAATGGGTTAATAATGACACAAAGACAAATGTAGTGCCAATGGATTATGCAATTGAAAAATGTATCAGGCCTCTGTTCAAAGAGGATTTATATTCGCACATCAAAATTTGAGCTCAATGGTATTCATCTTTTGGGTGCTCTTAGAGATCTGAAATAGTGTCCATGACTCACATTTGTGAGGTGAGTTGAGCCAGGTACATATTAATGAAGGCATTAATACAATTTCAGTGAATGTTCCCTGAAGAATGCAGGACAAGCAAATCAAGCCATGCTTCAAGGGTCAATACTGATTTGATGCCAGTGGTGCCCCTGGTGGAGCTATTTCGGGTATGTTGCTTATATAACCTCTATAGGTTGGTTAGCTCAGTTGAATGGTTGGCTAGTTCTTGATGCAGAGTAACATCAACAGTATGAGATCAATTCCTACACCAGCTGAGGTTACCATAGATCTCCTGTCTTCTCAACCTGACCATTGCCTGAGGTGCCGTGACCTTCAGGTTAAACTCACCATCAGTTGTATTTTTCTCTAATGAGAGAGATTGGGAATACTACTTATCTATTTTTATGTGTGTTCATTCGCTTTCTCTCATACTCTTAATTTTCACTCCTCCCTAACTATTTAGTCATTCTGCAGAGACTGCCCAGCAATGGCACAAATGAATAGACAGCACAAAATTGATGCAAAAACTTAAATTGCTGCAGAAACTCAGCAGGTCTAGCAGCTTCTGTGGGGAAAAAGCAGAGTTAATGTTTTGGGTCCAGTGATCCTTCTCCAGGACAGCACAAAATTGACATTCTTCATGTATACACTAAATGGTGCAAGTTCTATTTATTTCATGGTCATGTGCCCATTGTAAGGATTATCTAATTTAATTTCCACCAATTTTATACGTGTTTTTTTCACTGTATATTTACGTTTCAGAAGTCTTGTTGCTAAATTCACTGATAACGCAAAGATAGGTAGGAAAGCAATTGTAATAACATAAAAAGGCTGTAAATGGATACAAATAAGTTAAATTAGGTAGAAATTTGACAGATGGAGTCCACATATTGACAGGGAGAATAGGAAAGCAACGTGCTATTTAACTAGAGTGACTATAAAATTGTGAAGTACAGAGGGATACTGATGCTCTAGTTAATGAATCACATTTAAATTTAATTTGCTGGTGCAGCAAATGATTAGCAATGCAAATGTTGTTGTTTACTAAGACAGGACTGAAAGACAAGAGTAGAAAAGTCTTGTTACAATTGCGCAGCACATTGGTGAGGCCATATCTGGAATGCTGCACAAAGTTTCAGTCTCCTCATTTAAGAAAGAATATAACTTTATTAGAAGTAGTGTTGAGAAGGTTCACCTAACTAATCCTGGGATACAGGGATTATTTTATGGAGAAAGAATGGATATTTAAAAGATGGCGAGGCAATCTCATTGAAACTAATGAGGTCCTGAGGAGAGTTGATGAGTGGGTGCTGTAAGAGCGAATTTCTTGTACGATAGCTTGGGATAAGGGGAAACAGTTTGAAAAATGAGTGATCTCCCATTTAAGATGGAGTTGCAAAGAAATGTTTTCTCTCAGAGGGTTGCTACCCTGGAATTTTCTTCCCAAGGAGCAGTGGAGACAGGGTTATTAAGTATTTTTAAGTTAAAGTTGGACACATTGTTGATTGACAAGGGGGCCAAAGAGTAGAGGGGCAGACAGGAAAGTAGAATCCACAATGAGATCAATCCCCTGAATGGCATAGCCATTTAAGGGGAAGATTGGCCTACATTTGGCCCTAATTTGTATGTTTCATATGTTCATAGACAAAAGAGCTTGCAAATTGAATGAGAGTAGACCTGCTGAAAACACTTTTATAGAGCTGATTGTGTGCTTTGGGATGAACTCTGAGAATTTGTTACACCGAGGAAGCTGCGGTTTTCCTATTCTGCTTTGTAATTGTTTTGTAGAACTATGACAACATGCTGGAGGTCATTGGATTCAAAAGCTGACAGACAAGTTGGAGTGAGCATCAACTATGGATTGTGTAAAGGGTGTGGATGGAAACACTCCTTAATTTTAACCAGGCAGTACCTCAGCATTACGTTAGCCATTATCAATGATCACGTTCCTGGGATGGTGTTCACTTAACAGTAAGAGGACAGGTCCTGACACATTTAGTTTTAGCCCAGGCTGGCTGAAACCACAATCACAATGATGTCATCATCCTGTCTTTGAAATAGATACATATTGCTTGAAGGAGAGAACATGTGATCCCTATTAACAAACATTAGTGTTAACTGTCTGGTCAAACTGCAGCATCATTTGTGATGTTCAAGTATTTCAAAAAGACATGGCTCTCAAAGAAAGTTGACTTACTAAAACTTATTGCCTTAGTTAACAAACATGAAACAAAGCTGTCCTTTACATTGTATTATCAATGTGACTCAGCAAGTAAATGCAGTGCAAACCCATGACATACAAAACTCAGACATAGTTCCGTAACATAATTACAATCAGCCAGAGGCATAGAATAATCATTGAGTTCAGCAGATAAGGAATTTAAATCCAATTGATTAAAGACAAACACAAAAAATAACAGGCTGGTGCTGATGAAACTACCAGTCTGTTACGAGAAAGCAGCTGTTTCACTGATGTTCCCTAAGGAAGGAAATTTTATCTGGTCTGGCCTCGGAAGCCAATTGATTGTTTGGGTCTCTGTAAAAAGCAACCATAAAACTGGACAGACAGAGTCAACATCAACCTAAATACTGGAAAAGTCAAAGGCACGTCCAGCATAGTCAACCCATTCAATGAGAGGCTGGATAGACTCGAGATGGAAGGTACTATTGACAGTTTTATCAAATGGTGCTCAAAAAATGCTCAGTTTGAGTTACAGCAGGATAATTTAGATTAGGACTTCATTATAGTTTTGGTCCAAGTTCTGACACAGAAGCTGAACTCAAGAGGTGAAGTGAGAGTGACAATCCTTGCATTTAAGGAGAATTTGACCAAGTGTGGCATCTAGGAGCCCTAGTAAAACTGAAATCAATGGAAATCAGGGAAAATTCTCCAATGGCTCAGCTCTACTTGACAATGGAAAATGTTTGCAATTTTAGGAGGCCAACTATCTCATTCCCCCAAGATACAGGAATAGGAGTTCCTTAGAACAGTCTCACTATCGGGCCTAACCTAAATATCTTCTGCTGCTTCATCAATGACCTTCCTTTCTTCATATAAACAAGAATATAGGAGGCCCCAATTTACAAACATATGACTTGCAAATGCTTGTACTTACAAACACAATCTCATACAAGGGTGTAATTTTAAAGATCCAACATGCAAATGTTTCCTGTACTTATGAACATGTATTTTATATTGTCCTGCATTGTGTTCCGACTTGCATACAAATCCATTTGCAAACAAACTCAACAATGGAACCTGCTCACAACCCATGGTTCGGTATGATTCACAAGTCCTCAGACACTGAAAGAAGTCCATGCCAACATACAGCAAGATCAGGTAAAATGCAATCATCTACTGATAAATGGCAACTCTCATTTGTGTTAATAGTGCCAGACAATTACCATTTCCAATAAGAGAACCTAACTACCTTTTCTTGATGTTCGATTGCAGGATTATCATCAAGAATCCATCATCAATATCGTGGTGCCAACATTGCCAAGAAACCTAACTGAACTGTGCAAATAAATACTGCATCTACAAGGATGGGTATTCTGCTTCAAGTAAATTAGTTTCTGTTCTTCCAAAATCTGTTTGCAGAGCACAATTCAGGGGTATGATGGAATGCTGTCTACTTGCTGGAGCTCCAACAACACTCAAGAAGTTCAGCACTGTTTAGGACATGAACCCTGCTTGATCCAGCCCTTAAACAATTACTCCCTCCACCAGTAACACATAGAAACAGTAGTGTGTACCAAACTGCCAAGCATTCTTCAACAGCACCTTCCAAACAAGTGACCTCAATTACCAAGAAGAGCAAAGTAGCTGGTGCATTGGAACATAGTCATCTCAAGTTCGGTTGCGTGGGCAGAATTATATTAGCCTCCTGACTGAAGGGGAATGGAGGTAGGAGGCCAGTAAGATACCTGGAAGTCACATGAGGATGGATCCCTGCTTCTGGGGATAGCTCCCAGCAAAAGATCTAGGGAATAGGAAAAGGAACAGACTTGTACTGCAGAGAAATCTAGAATAATCTTTCTAGGTCCACATAAACACTAAGCCTTTGTCCTGCTGTCTTCCCCACCCACCCCAGTTATAGTCTCTTCCACTATCTTCTGTCAGGCAGAAGATATAAAAGTTTGAGTACGCATGCCAACAGATTCAAAAACAGCTTCTTTCTTGCTGTTATCAGACTTCTGAACAGACCTCTCAAATGTTAATTCTGATCTCTGTCTCTGCACCTCCTCTGCAGCTGTAATACTGTATTTTGCACTCTGTTCTGCTACCCTGATGTACTTTGTATGGTAGATTTGCCTGTATTACATAAAACAACACTTTGCATTGTATCTCGGTACATAACAACAATAAATCAATGTTTACATATCTCCCCTGGTGTCATCCAGAAGCTTAGGAGCTGGCTTCATGTGTATGCAGTTGGTATTTGCTCTTATCTTGCACCATCTTGATTCTTGCTCAGATAACTCACATTAAAAGGGGGCAATTTTAACTCTCTCCACCTCAGAGAATCCTTGTCCTTGCTTTTGAAGCATTTACCACTTTACATCCACCTTGTGGTCTTTTTTTCATCCTGCCTTTTTCCTGGGCTGTCAAATTGAACATCTGAGTACAACTTTCTCCTCAAAACGTACTCAAATTGGGGACTATGAAATAGAGAATTACATTGTGTTCATGCTGTTCTATAAAACAATTCTGAGCTCAACTTGACTCCCTAAGGTGACTCCAAACATTTGCTTCTCCGATACTGGTTAATTCACCTCAGTCCACCATTGGTGGTGAGTCTTCAGTCGCCATAGCCCTGTCTATCAAAATTCATCTGAAGATTCTACTTTACCTCTCTGCTTCCTTCCTCCTGCTTCAGACTTCTCAGTTCAGTCATTCTCACATTTTATTCCATGAGACCAAGCAGTGAAGGACAGAACAAGAGCTAATGCTTACATACTTTATAAAAACTTCCTTTACAGACACGCAAATTACAAACGTGCATCTACTAACCCGATAATCCCAATTTTAATCTTTTTCTCTTTAGGCCAGCACTATCACTTGCATACAACTAAATGCAATTAATTTAAAATGAACATTTAATGCTTTGCTCCTAACTCATTCATTTGTTCTTTCATTCTTGTTTTGTGGCCATTTTGTGCTCCTTTCTGTAAAGCGCTCTGTGTTATTCTAAATGTGAGGAGAGTCATATTGTGCACATTACTGTCTGTCCTCAGTAAGCTTACTGAGCCAATGCATGCCTAATGGGCACAGTTTCAACTTTTAAATGTTTCCATTTTTACATTCAATTTGACAGTAAATGAAATTTAATCAATCGTGGCTACGTCAGCTAACAAACAGGTCCCCCACGGAACAGTCTTTGTTTATCCATCTTGGAATAAGTCTATTATACTGCCAGTTAAAGTAATATTTGAAGATAGTGGGTTAGGAGGTCAACTTCAAAGCTATGTTTGACAGGACACATTCAATAGAAATAGTGTAATTTAACAGAGGTAAAGATTAGTACTAAACTCATAACCTTTGATTCTTACCTTGGTGTACAGTGACAAGAATAAAGAAAAGAACTGCAGAGGAAATATGAACCTTAGAATACATCCAGCTGTCTGAGCTGCAATGTGGTGTTCCACGGGAAATCATTCTAAAAAGAAAGCAAAATCAATTAAAATTATAACATACTCAGGGCAATAAATGATTTCTGCTGCATAAAGCAAGCAAACAACAGCTTGTATTTATAAGGTACTTTGATATTGATAAATCACTTCACGGACATCTAATCGAAACAATGGACACCATGCAAAATATGGTTAAAGAAATTAATTTTCAGGGAAGTCTTAAAACAGAGGGAGGAAATGAAGATGTAGACCCATTAACCTAGGGCATCCAGAGTCTGGCTGCTGAATTCATACCTATCAATGATGCAAAGGGAGCAGATTATATGCAAAGTGACTGCCTTTGGAGCACAGGGGAGGAAGGGGGAATACTTCATTTCAAAAAGATGATGATTATCTATGAGGACTACCAATCTTATCGACACAGTGTATTGTTGACTGATGTCTGCAGTCCTGGTTTATAAGTCATTGGTCTGTTTGTGCTGGTAGCACAACCACAGTAATAAGATGTAAATTGTTCATGTTTCATATATCTTACTCATGAAGTAACATACTGGATTGCTGAATATTAGATACCATGTTTAGGCAAACAAATCACTATAAACTATATTAGCAACTGGCATAAGCCATTCAGTCTCTCAAGTTTATTCCATTATTCAATTAGGTCATGGTCGATCTGTATCTTAGTTCCAACTAACCGCCTTGGTTTTGCGACCCTGACTATTCTCACCGAACAAAAACTTCTCAATTTCTGTGTTGAAATACTATACTGCAACAATTTCTAATGTGGAGTTATAAATAAGATCAGGTTAACACCAGAGAATTAATTTAGCTGTCAAAGAGGGATTAGTTACCTCAAGGATTTTTTTTTCCAAGAAATATTGTGTAAGGTTCGCACAGAAGCATACAGTGTGCACATTATTGATTTTAGTAGAGGTACCATAATGTCTCTGATCAACCCAGTATGCTCTTGTAACTAAAACGCATTTCAGGACTGTTGATCTTGGTAACAAGACCTTCTAGGGATCAATGCAAATGAAGCAACCTCCCAGAGGTGATGTTATAATGATTTTTGCTTCAAAGCAGAACAGTCCAAAATCCATTTCTGTCCATTTTGAGATCCCAAGTAGCCTCCTATTGTGGTTGTTATTCCTTATTGATTGAAAAGACCTGACATTTCTTCAGCATCATTTCAATCAGTAAAAGATCTCAATGGCAGTCCGTGCCCTTTGTTATTGAGAATATTCCCAGGCACCCCCCCATTTCCCACCGTAACAGCAAGATCAGACAGTTTAACTCATATTCGCATAACTGCACAAATATTGTATAGGGACTGCCACTGCCACTACTACTGGCACTAACAACTGCAGAGGAAAATCTGATTGATTGAATTTATTGTCACATATACCAAAATGCAGTGAAAAGCCTTGTTTACGAGTGGTACAGGCAAATCACAGCAAGCAAAGGATGTACAAATCAAAAAGACAAACAGGCATACAGGTTATATTATTTGAGGCTAGAGTCCATTCAACAGTCTGATAACAGCCAGAAAGAAGCTGTTCCTGAACGTGCTCATGCGTGTGTTCACGCTTCTGTATCTTCTGCCTGACGGAAGAAGTTGGAGGAGGTCATTACTGGATGCGATGGGTCTTTGATGACATTGGCCACCTTTCTGCTGCAGTGAGCTGTGCAAATAGAGTCCATGTATGGAAGGTTGGTTTCCATGATGGTCTGGGCTGTGCACACCGCTTTCTGTAGTTTCTTACGGTCCTGGGAAGAGCAGTTGCCATACCAGGCCGTAATGCACCCGGACAGTATGCTTTCAATGATGCATCTGTAGAGTTTGGTGAGGGACCTCATGGACATGCCAAATTTCCTGAGCTGCCTGAAGAAGAAGAGGCATTCAAAGATAGTAGGAACTGCAGATGCTGGAGAATCTGAGATAACAAGGTGTAGAGCTAGATGAACACAGCAGGCCAAGCAGCATCAGAGGAGCAGGAAGGCTGACGTTTCGGGCCTAGACCCTTCTTCAGAAGGGTCC